CTAGTGAAAAACCGATGATGTGATATTATTGTATAAATTGTGTATTATCTTTTGTTAAATTAGAGTCTGAGCAGAAAAAAAATAGATATAGCACAATTATAACATATATATGATATTTCATTAAGATGTGTCTGAAGTACCATTTTGTTGTTTTGTAACGTATTTTTATAATGATTTCAGTTAAACAGATAACGAATATACGAAAACTATAAAAATAGCAAAAATTTGATTGACGAAGTTGACGTTGTTAATAAAAAGTTATACTATTTTCGAAACTTATGTAATCATATTTTAAAATATGTAAATATAGTTATCGTAGAGGAAGTTGGTGTTGTTTATTATGATAACAATTACGTAGTTTTATTAATACTTTAATCTTTACAACTACAACAGTGAAGAAAATTTAAATATTTTGATCAAAAGTTTGAAACATGTGTTAGATTTTATAATTTGCATTTCAATTTTTGTTTTTTTTAAAATAATTATTCTATCATTGTAATCCAGCTAGTAACCATGACATAAGTTTATGAAAGAGACTGAAAACAAACACATCTTAAAAGAATATCATATCTATGTTCTATATATTGTAATTGTGTAATTTTTTCCCCATCCATGTCTATCCCTTATAGTTACTGCAATGGGTAAACAAATATTTTTAGAAGCTTTAAAGCCTGTAATGACACGTTAACATTGTTTCTCTACCTAATGGAATTTTGTTGTTTCACTTAATCAGCTTTTTAAGAAGATTAGTGTAATTTTTTAGTTATGCTTTTACACATTCAACATCTAAAAAAAACGTCTGCCAGTCACGCGCCAATTAGCGAAGCCCCTTTTTATTCAATATTATTTGAAAAGTATAATTTTATTTTCTTTTTAGAGATTTAAAACTAAACATCTTAGCTCGTAAAGAATCTTTCTATTGCATTTCAAATTTCACATCCAATAATTTTTTTTTTATGTTAAACAAACTATTATTCAAATTGTTGTTAAGAATCAAATATTGTGGAAGAAAGGGGAAAAACAGAAGTGGTGAAGTCATCGGGCCAATGAGGGATGCTCCTCGTTTCCTTACTTGCTATCATTTTAAGTTTAATTGTTAATAGTTTTCGTAATCGTTGTACAACAGATTATTTTTTATATACTCCAAAAAAAAAAGAATATATATGTCGTATATAATTTGCAAAATAATATTCGTAAAGAAATTTCTTATAGAAATATGTATTCACAATTTATAAACAAGTCTTTTTTTCTTAACTTGTCAAATAATATACAAGATATAATCCAAACCGTGACAACAAGTCATTCTTAACTCAATTTTCAGAAACAAAAAAAAATATTCTGAAATCAAATTTAAAGATCACCATCAGCATTTCGCTCAACTCATTTCCATTTTTCATTTTAATTCCCAAGATGCATGCATCATCATATTTCTTTCTCCGATAATAATTTCTCTTTCAGTATTTATTCAGTTTACTTTTTTTTTGAAAGTTAAGATGAAAACGATTGGTAAGTAGCAAAAAATCGTAAAATTATTGGAGGTTATAAGTGGCAGAGTCATGATTTACTAAATTCAAAAAGTGATCGAACTATCTAATTATACTTTAACAGTTCATTAATACATTGGGTTATTGGTTACGGAACCACAACAAACAAACAAAAACGTAGAAAATAAATAAAAGAGTTATTCCGTAAAAATTACATTTATCATTAAATTGTAAAATGACCCCGTAATTTTATTTCTCTGTTCATAAACGCGTGATTAAGATCTATATAAACCCTAACACAA